TCCGTTGCTGTTTTCATCTTGGTCACCATACAAAACGACCAAGCTCAGGCAGAATGGACCCAGAAATGACTCTGAATGCACTTGTCGCCACCCTATCCATGCTCTTCCCATGAAGGTTTACAAGGCTAGTGAAGCTTTTTCACATTTCGTATTCATTGTGTTGAGGTGTGTCAGGTCTGACATCTTCGATTATTATTTAACTTAATACTCGAACTCTGTTCCGTATCCATGCTCTTCCCTAACTTTCTCCCATTTATCAGCCTTGAGATTGTTTCCTAGATCAGTGCGACTGGATTCTATGGGCCTTCCACTGTTCGAAATAGTTTCAGCTTTATCAACTCGAGGGGCATACATGGGTGTCTACGCATTTTTTTACGCTTCCTCAGGCCAGGCCCCTAATTGCTATCATACGAGTCTCTAAGAGTTGGCCCATTCAATGTAGAAAGTGCGCAAATTTACTAGCCGTCCGAGGAAGAGACTCAAATGACTAATCTACAACGAATATCAACAAGCGGTCTAATCTAGGAGTCTAGGAGACGTGCCGCTCAGTTATGCGGCTTTGGAAGACCGCACTATATCAGCTCTGCCTGTATACCCAGGCTCTAGAGACAATCTCGTACTGGAAGAGGACACAAATTAGTATTGCGCTTAGGAGAGGCCCGTTTCCCAGGTTTACATGCACAGAAATAAGCGTGGTGGGAAATGTGACCCAGGCTCTTAAGGTTGCTTCCCTAGAGTTCATAAAACGTGCCCAGTGGGCTGCCTTCAACTCTACAACCCTTGTTGCGTCTCTGAATCTCAGTGGTAAATTGCCTAGCGGCAACGTAACGTGCTCGCATTCCCGCGATGTCGACGACGTATCTTGCCCTAGGCTTTCAAGGGACCTTCGGACTACTTTGCCGTCGCTTACCCCGTCTATCTGCCTTAAGCATTAATATAATAGGGTCGATTTAAGGCAACTCATTGAGAGGATAGTGCGCGACGTTCCTCTACGCCCGCAACTTCCGAGGGCGATTTGGTCAGCAACCAATATTCCTACCTTTAGAGAACTCAAAACCATCTAAGAACTGTGCTGGGTTAATGGGATGCTATATACGTCGTCGATCATGTCTTCTTCGCAAGCTCTGGGGGCAAATTCTACGGGCGTAGCTCAACACATATAGGATAACAACCGCCCTGGGCATCAACAGCACAATTCATAACCGTCAGAGACTCGTTATGCTTGAGTTTAGGCTTCAACTGTTATAGCCCAACAATGAAGCTCGATAGAGCTAGCTGCATTTAAGGTTCCGAACTAACAAAGGTTGAGTTCACCATCATGACTCTTTTCGTCACTGGACTCCCTTAATGAACTCTAATTTCTGTCTTTAGCACCCCAAACCCCGCCCCCTATTCAATCTATCTACACGAACTAAGCTTGCTCCTACAGTATAAATATCGATCAAGCCAAGTTCGCAAACATCTACCATAAATCCAATGTATATGAGGGGTGGCGGTCAGTGACCTGAATGGAAGGTGTGTAATATACCGCCAAAGTGATAAGAATGAGAATCTGCCTGGAGTATGTAAAGCTCTAGAGGTTGATGCAATATTCAATGACCGATTTTATGTAAGAAAGTCAGCTAAGGGCTCCCAGAGATTAGCCCTCGAGGGAGCAATATTCCTACCAGAGGCAACAACTCAATGACTTACGTATCGTATCGTCTTGGAACAGTTGGGTGCCAAGGCCCCGTGTTGAAAAATAGTAGTAAATTATGAAATTGTTCTCCTTGTGCTCCAAGGCGGACCCAACTGCAAGTCAGTGGATAGACATGAAGTATCTCCCTTGCTTCTAGATTGGCAGTCGCGCAACTACGACTTGGTATCATTCTTTTTGACAAACGGTGTACCAAAATTTGACAAGTGGCCCTCTGTACGACTGGTTTTACAACACGATCCGGATAATCAAAACAGGGCGGAAATTCCCTTCCAAGACGTCGAGCTGGACCTCAAGATCAGGGCCAAAGGTCAAGACCTAGTGACATGGGCGCCGAAAACCACATGTCGCATGTAAAATTCAACAAAACTTGCTGAGGAAGCAGAAGCCCTCTTGAATGACTCCTTTGGGCTGGAAATTTGAGCTGTTAGGACATCAATACCGTACTGCAGACCGACTGACATTCTTTTCGGTTGCTTAGAACTCGGCTGACTGCCATACGGGATGTTGCGGCCCTGCTGACCTTGAAGATGACGGGGCGCAGGCAGATTTGTGGGATGCTACACTGGGACTCATTCCCGGCATTACGACGCTCAAGCTTATTGTAGACTTACGCAGCCAACCGCAAAAAGACCCCCAAATTGGGTTAAGTCAATGCATGCGATCTCACTTTGGAATGAGACAAAGGCTGAACGAAGTGTTAAACGAGGCATCGGAAGAATCTTTCATCAAGCTATTGCAGTAAGCATTGAACGAGTCTAAACGAGACAATAAACCAAATACGTATGAAATGAAGACCTTGACTTACAAGTTCGGATATATAATGATGCTCTCCAACCTGCTAATTGATAACTTCTCTAAATCAGACAAACCATAGAGACACTGAATACTTCGATCTTATATCTGATTGGCTTCATCGCGTTCGTCACAATGAAACATTCTGCACTACTCATCGCCTTTATCCTCTCGCCGTTTGCAGGCATTCATCACGTTCAGGCTGATGAACAAGACGAACACCCGATCCTTCTGCTCAACGAGGACTCTACGTTTCACTTTGAGATTCTCGGTGGCCTCGGACAAGCTTTGACTGGAGGTGGCGACATTTCCCCAATCCTCGGTGCTGCGAAGAATGTCACGCCTGGAGACTTTGATAAATTCACCGACATTTTCTACCGTCTTGCTAATGAAACCAAGGCTGCAGCTCTGGACCCGGCTAATGCATACGACCCTATCAATGTGCGCGATACATGGTTCTCTGCGGCAAGTTACTTTCGCCGTGCAGATTCGTTCACTCACGGTGATTGGGATGATCCACTGATCAATCAACTCTGGGAGGAGATGCTTTCAGCTTTCGACAAGGGAATCAACGCGCTACCAATTCCCGGGCAACGTGTCAAAATACCGGCCGGCAACTTTACTGTCGAGGCTATCTGGTATTCGGCATACTCGGGCGGCAAACATAAAAAGTGCCCTACCTTGATTCTCGGAGGTGGATATGACGGTGCGCAGGAGGACATGTATCACACCATCGTGACAAATGCTTTGGTTCGCGGATGGAATGCCCTGACCTACGAAGGACCCGGGCAACCGACTGTTCGTCGAAACCAGAACCTAGGCTTCATCCCCCACTGGGAACGCGTCCTGACGCCTACCGTCGACTGGCTGCTGGCAAACAAGCGTGCTGAAGTCGACACCAAAAGGCTTGCGCTCTACGGCCATTCAATGGGCGGATATCTGGCGGCGCGGGCTGGAGCTTTCGAGCCCAGGGTGAAGGCCATCCTACTCAACGGCGGGATCTTTGATGTTCATGAGTCTTACCTTGACCAAAGCCCAGCTGTGCTCACGGATCTTTATAAGGCGGGCCAGAAGGATGCGTTTGATGAGACCGCGTTGTCACTGCTCTCCAATCCAAACGTTTCAAGCCAAATCCGCTGGGGCATTGAACATGGCATGTGGGCATTCAAGACCAAATCCCCATATGACTTCTTCCACCAAACCGAGCAGTATACCCTCAAGGATGTCATCAGTCGTATCAAGGTACCAGTTTGGATTGCTGATGCAGAGCTTGAAGGGTTCTTCCGGGGCCAGCCTCAGAAGGTCAAGGAGGCATTGGGCGAAAAGGCAACTCTGCACCCCTTCACTGGTACCGCAGGATATCATTGCCAAGCAGGTGCTCTCCAGGAGCTAAACCGAGCCATCTTTGCGTGGTTGCACAAGACCCTTGGGTGAGCGATTTTTGCATCGCTTTTTGCCTTGGCAGTGGCGCGCATGTGACCATGTGTTTGCACGAGGTCTGTGGCCAGGTCACGTAACATTTGTTTTCTTGAGGAAGCAATAGTAGCGCAAGGATAGGATGGTTCCAGAAGAGGAAGCAATAAGCCGGGTACAGGAGAAGTGCATAGCAACAAAGAGACAGAACAGCGACATAGATTGAGCTCAATTAGACTTCCTTGACAAAATCAACCTTGTCATCAAGGCTGATAACTGAGATGCGGCAAATGAGGAAAATTCGGACTGGCTTCTTAAGACTTTTGATATTAAGCCTTCACTCGTAATGGAACTGATCATCTATCATGTTGAATTATGAGCGCTTTGCGTCGCTGTCGGGCTACAAGTAACTAAACACTGATCCTCGTGACTCTTCATAAGATGTGCCCTGAATTTCACATCGAAACAGCACCCCCAAGCAGTATCAGACACGACCGTCTAGACCGTACTGTCGACACCGAATCTCCAATCTCCAATAAAACCGGTCAAGGGGGATCGATCGACAGAAGGGCAGTAGGACTTTCATATATGATACGATTAACAATTGTAGCCCTCCATGAACGCCAAGAAACGAGATGAAAAAAAAAGGGTTTACTGAGATAACCCTCTTGATCAGATTCCAGACAACTATCGTCGTTTCATTCCCTGCTTCAACCAATGGGAGACTTGAGAGAGTCGATTATGAAACTTCAGCTTTTGAGGGGACGCGAAATCCTTATTTTTCTCTGCAAGATTCTCTGTATGGTTCTCTGTAGATTCCTCGCGGCTGCTCTTCCCAGGCAATTGCTCAGAAATTCTAGCTAAGAACCCCGGCAACACCACTTTTAGCTGGGCGGCATTCAGCGAACCGATGGTGCTCCCATTATCAATAAGAAAATATAAGTGTGGTATCATCTCCGAGAGGAACTCAAGATTTTCCGGGACATATGATACAATATCGGGTGGAAGAAACGATGAAATCTCGTATGGCAACGATTTGACAAGGTCCACGAATGTCTCCTCTTTGTTTGCCGAAACCATCGCTGAGGCTAGATAATCAGCAGCCGTTATCTGAGACCCGCTCAGAGATTTCATATTTGCCCCTTTGTCCATCAGTAGTCTTGCTAGGTCCAATGCGGCCACGTGTATGGGTCTTAACCCATTTCCAAGATCAATGTCTGGAGATATTCCCCAGTCGATCAGCAAAGCGACAAGATCGAGATCGGATCCTTCGTATCCAAGGTTCCACTGATAGAGCGTGTTTCTTTTCAATATTGTTCGCATTACAGGAACTGTGATATCCAGCCGTTGAGCCCACTCGCCTCTTCTTTGCAAAATGAGGGTAGTCGTTGCTAAGATGTCCTTATCTGGAAAGTTGCCGAGGCGAGTAACAGCCAAAGCCAGTATAGGGTCTGTGCAGTTGTCTAAGACCTGGATATCAACCTCCAGTGTCTCGATCATGTATAAACGAAGTCCAGTGAGCGCAGCAAAACCAAATGCTGTAGTCGAACAAGGATAATCGCCACCTCCTCTCCCAAAGAACGATGGGGGAAAAGTGTCCAGGAACAACTTGAGGCTACGACCGGTTGTCGTTTCTGATTCAATCGAATATCTCACGGCTTGTGTAATATGCCAACCCTGGCTCTCGAGGATTTCTGATTCCAAAAATCGATACTTGGCCAAGAAAGTCCATCCGTTATCCATTGTGATTTTTGCGCGTTCCTGAAGGATCAGGCTTTTGAATTTTGTATCACAGACGAAATCGACAACGGTTTGGTGGAGGACCTGGACAATCCCAATCTCATTCGCAGTCAGAACTTCGACTAGGCCGCCACAGTAGAACTTGGATCGGCGTTGGGTAAAACCCGAGAAATTGTCATCCGAATAATTCCGAAACTTCAGCAGTGTGGCGATACCGGCCGCGTACGTCTTGCAGTCTGAGCACTCAACAGCGCAAATGAATTCTCTAGACTCTAGGGGCTCATCTGGCCGAACGGCCACTTCAAGCATCGCGTAGGTTTTCCATCTGTGCGAGAGTGGGATACGTGTAATAATCTCGGCGTAGTAGTCGTCTAGTTCGATGGGGAGCGAGCGAAGATATTTCTTCAACTCCTTTCTGCTCTGGTTGTTCTGGATAGCTATAGCGAGATCCTTCACTACCAGTTTAACCCAGAGAAACACGCCTCGAGAGCGATCAACTAGCTCGGTGATTAATTTCTCGTAGTCTGAGAATGAAATCTCTTCATTCTTGAGGGAGTTGAGGCAGTAGCTCATGATATCGTCTCGAGTGAAATCCTCAGGCCGGAGGCTGGGGTACTCCTGGAAGTTGGTAACGAATATGTCCCAGGGTCTGCTAGAGAAACAGACGCGAATGTCTTTGGTGGGCGTTTGAGTTATATTCGCAATATCTATTAAGAATCTGCAGATGAACTCTTTCGGTCCGTCGTACTCGTCGAGGGCATCGAGGAATATGGTGAGATGCAAAGGTATAGCTGTTTGCTCAAGTATTTCATGAAATACAGTCTGAAGCTTGAGCAGAGTCCAACAGTCAGAGGACACAAATTCATCCCCATCAATGAACTGGGTCAATATTGTGTTGAACTCTGGCTGGCTGCTGAGTATCTGGTGAATAATGCTTCGTAAAAGGCCTTCAAATGATTTCTGTAAGGATGAGCCTCGATAATGAAAGAAAAATGATACGTAGATCGGAGAGTGTCGCGTTTTCCAATCCGATAGTAGCGTGCGTGTTCTACGATCCTGAACAATAAACTTCATTAGAGTAGACTTTCCAGAGCCTGGTTTGCCGTTGATCCAGAAGATGCCCGTGCCATGCTGCAACCAATCACTGAAGCCAGACTCGGGAAGGTCAAAAACCCAATCTAAAGTTGTCCTGAACCTCTTTTCGATTTCATTCAATCGACTATGTTGTTCAGGTACTTTCAAAGACTTTAAGACCTCTATTTAACTCAATCAGCACAGCCCAAAAGCACTAACTCTATGTAGTCTCGCTTACCATCGAGGGTTGGGGCGTTTGATTTGCTTGGAGCTTGACTATCTGATGACATGCCTTCGATCGTGTCGATCGATAGAGAGTCATCTCCAATTTCGACTGCTTGGGTAAGTATTGAGCCATTCCGCAGAATTTCGTCCCGGGCGTCAGTTTCAATTTTATCCATGATACAGGATAATTTATGCACGAGAACAGAGTATATGTGGTCGTCTTCTGAGAATTTAACCATCGTAGAGTGATCCTCATTGATGGGAAATACATAGTCTGAATGATCTTTGCGAGTATATAAGCCTCGAGTCGCTGAGTTCGGGGTCACAAGAACTTTCTCTGGGCCACCTCTTGACCAATTTTGAGCAGAATCTTGCTGAGAAGTAAATGTTAGCAAGTAAAGGTGAAAGGTAGAGGAGATCTAACCATAACTGTTGGGGACTTTCTTGTTTCGTAAGCCCAATAGATTTTAGCATCCTGAAGAAAAGACAGGCCAGAAAACTGCTTATCAAGATGGGAGAGGTACTGGGAACCAAGGGCTAGGTCCCCCACGAGCCCCTCGTTAGACTGCCCTCTCACCATAGACAACAGACTTGTCTGCTCCATGCCAAAATTAGGAACGCCAAAGAGGATGCCTCCTTTGATTGAAACTCGTAACGTGTTATCTGATTGCAAAGTATTGGCGAGGGATACGAAGGCTTGTTTTAATACGAGACCGCCCAGGCTATGCGCAAGGAAAAGGAGAGGCTTCGCAGTTGGTGATGCCCAACCGCAGGCTCGCAGCTGGTTGAGGAGGCCACAAGCAATATCCAATATTGACTGGAACGAACTGCTTTTCTGTAACATGGTATCATATCCATATAGAATAGGCCTCATCCTCGGCAAGGCCTTGGGCAGTGCATCACGAATCCACATGAATGTTTTCGACCCGTCTTTCTGTTGCCATGAGCCAAACGGATGGCTAGCCAGCCCGGACAGCGCAATGCAACTATCTTCTTTGTTAGACATGTACACGTGTTCGTGCTGGCGCAAATACTCACTCTGCCTGGTGGTCCTCTGGATCATAAAGTGGAGTGAAGCCTCTGAAATGAGTATCCAGAATAAGAGCGTGTGGAAGATTATCAATCTTGATCTTCCATTCGTCGCCGGAGTTCCCACTGGCGAAGCCTTTGAGAGACAACTGGATGTCAGTCTCAGAATCAAACATCAATGTCGCTATTCTGCTGCTGGGATTATATATATCAACAGAACGCGCCAATGAAAAGACCCTAATCGCCGAAGCCCTGATCCCAGTGGAGTCCGTCAGTAGGTTGATAATATCCAGTCTATCAGCCGTAGGAGGCAATTGCCGTAGCCTAAACACGGTCCGTCTCATCTTCATTGCAGTGAGACCCGTTCAACTCAAATGACCGCGTTTGCCAGCTCTAGACGAGCGCCAGACGAGCCTTGCAGAGCTGTTTCCCCCCGCATCTGAGCACTTAGAGCCTGCGATAGGGTCCCTGGGCCCCTCTTCACCTCCACTTAACCGACCGGTTTGATACAGCTCGTCGAGGACGTTGAGTAGGATATACTTGAGCAGATTGCGACAAACTATGAATGGATTTCGATGTTGAAGGATCTAAAGCGGGGGGTTGGTGCGGCTGACATCGCTTAGGTGGCGTAGTAATATGCATCTGCAAGGAGTCGTATCTAGAAGTTGATTGGGTTGGCTGACAAAGTCTCCACTGTCAGATTTACAGATGAATGCTATAAGACAATACTGTCCTATTCGTGATCCTCTCATGCATAGCAGTCTTTGCTTAATCAGAAGATATGAATGTGCGAAATTGTCAAAGCTTACCTGAATCCAACAAGGTATGAAAGTAACCACCCTAACATTATAGATTATTAGCTTCATAATTTGATAAGTAAGATTAAGGCCAACGATTTCTACGCTTATGCATCTATATTGCTATCGCCATCACAATCGATCTACCTAAAAGTTCTGGGATATCGGATCCAAATCTCGCTGCCTGGGGCCTGAAGATCAACAAATATCCGAGATGGTTCAGGTAAAATAAAAATTAGCCTTTATTATAATGAGAGGTGGTTGATAACTTAACTTTGCCTTCTGTAGGAGAGTTTCCTCAGCTCAAAAATACTATGTTCAGGCTGGTAGCTGTTTGAACATGGGCTATGCTACACGGAATACTCAGCCAGTACACAATTTATTGAACTTAAGGCAACGCGATGCTGGCATAATCTTTTAGTACTAAACCGATGCCTATGAATGCTAGCGAATAGCCCGAGTAACGATGTGCATCTATCAATCATCCATTTATCTAAATTCACAAACAGACCGGTGCTTCGGTCCTACCCTACACCCGCCGACCAACCGTTACCACACGATTATTTGAAATGCGCCTCGCTCCAAAGAAAACTCAGTTATTCAATGCCTTTAGAATAAAGAGCATCGAACAGTCTTTGTTTTGATAAATGGCAACTGATACGGTCATGTGGACTATTACTCGAGGCCATTATTTCGCAGCTTCCAACGACGTGTTATCTAGATACTGGGCATCAAGTGTAGAATCTCGATAATGGCAATGCACTTCACTTCAACACATGTGATGCTATAGATAGTATCATTTCCTACCTAAGATTACTTTATGAAAGTTCGAGATTCCAGTACGCGTCTAGAAGTGGGTTGTTTGTGATGAGTAATTTACATATTGGAATCGGCCTTGTTCGAGATCGTTGAAAAAGTGCCTTATGGTTCGTCACAGTATTTAATTTAGAACAGAATAATCCACTGTTTCTTTATTTTGATAATAAAGCTAGCGCAAGGGTCACTGCAATTCGTACTGGACTGGCTTGACCATCGCCGACGAACCTTGTATTGTGGATTTACGACCTTGGGGATATGATGATTTATCTGGTTAAGCTCGTCTTGCGACGCTTCGGTGCGTATCCCTTGTCTCTAAGATGAATGTGATTGGCTGGATTCTGCGCAAATAGGCGACCGTTAAATGACTTGTCTTTCATGACGCGATGCCCCCCAAGACAGTGCGGGACTTGTTCTGAAGTTCTGGTGGGTTATTTTTATTCTCGGCCTGGCATTTGATTTTGGCCCGGTTGCCGGGATGAGATTGGGCCACTTATTTTTATGATCATGTTCGTGGGTCTGGAATCAAGAGAGATATCCGTATTTGAAAGCAAATTTGATCAGACGTTCAAGACCAAAGTACAGAACTTAGGATTGGAATGCAACAAGATCAATATCATGCACACCGTCTCGCTCCGGATCCGGGCCGCCAGTTTTCCCGCCACCAGCCAAGGGTTTTGTTCATACTTTCTTCCGAGGCAATGTTGCCAAATTGTGAAACGGAGACAGATGGAAAAAAGCGATAGGAAGGGTAGCAGTTTGGTTAATGTGCGCTGAGCCTGAAATGCGCTCTAACTGCTTCGGCTCCTGGTGGTGTACTACCAAGAACGCCTCCCAGGATTCGAAGCGACATGATCCCTGTGCCAAATATAACTATGCCGCTCGGCGATTGTCGTTTCGGGGAATTCAGGGGCGCTCGGTTCGACAAGGAGCCAGTGAACGCGCCGCCAAGAGCGGCTGGCGGGAGAGAATGGGGCAGTCCGAAGGATTGACGGGGCACTGGATGTATGCGGAGGGTTGCGGTGCTTCGCAAACCTGTTACACGTGGTGGTTACATGCAGGTTGTGAATCGGCCATTTCCTAAGTAAGTAGCTGTCCGACATTGCATCCGGAATTGACAGGCCGTGGCGCCATGGCGCGAGTCTTCTTTGTGATAAGCTTCACACTGCAGGGCACTGAGTCTAGGCTAGTTGATGGACGCCTGGGCAGAGTTCTCAGGGCCAGAGGAATCCTCGACGAGCGCATTCCGGCGGCTAGACGTTGAGCTGTCCACGGCTGGCTACTCGTTTAGCAGATCCATCAAACAACCCAAAGTCCATTTGAGCCGCCAATGGATCCACTGTATCTGCACGCTGGCCCTTGTAAAAGGCAAAGGATTCATGCCGAGTGGTGTCAACGAAATACCTGGACGAGCAGGGGGCGCGGGACTTGGCGGTTTGTAAGGGATGGACCACCTCCCGTGACTTTAGTATGCAGTCCTCTGCCGTCAAATGCTGTTGATCCCTCCCACCTACTCCTACGAAGAAGCTGTTTCATCGCGAAGCGGGCTACGGCCATCACCATGCTTCAACTGTCATTCCTTACCTACCTGTGGCTCGCCGCGGGGCTAGCCGCAGGTGAAGACCTCACAATATATCAGAGGCGCTTTTGGCACAACGGTATGTATGCCCTTTTGGAATGCCGCTATCCAGTTTTAACGGGAGATGATTGACCTTTCCTGTGATGTAGCCGCAATCTTGGGCGATAATCTCTACATCGATGGCGGATCCATGTCGAATCATGTCAACGGCTCACTGCCAGAGGGTACAGAATACAACACGAGAGCGGGTACGTCAGATAACGAATCTCAAAGACGATCTGGGAAGCGGCGGATTGAGACGCTAACTGGAAGGTGCAGTTTTAAACACGACGGTCATCTCCCTGAAGAACGATTGGAATAACACCAACGTCGAGAAATCATACCACGGTTATGGGCAGACAACGTTGGGTGTCAAGATATTCGCTCTCTGGACCAACCAGAAGTTGGGCCAGATCTTCCGATGGGGAGGTGAACGAACCGACGACTCGCAGGTCGCAAAGGATTATCCTGTTATGTGGTACCTGAAGAACGATACCTCGAATAGTGACTTATGGTACGAGACACCGGCGGACGAGGACAACCCGCCTGGAGTGAGCGGTACACCCGTAACATGCGGCGGCAAGCATCTTTACTTCGGCGGTAGCGTGAGCAACAAGACGTATGCGAAGGTTAAGGTCAACAAACTGTCCAAGGGAGTCCTCGAATATAACCCCGACAGTAAAGTCTGGACGAGATACGAGAACTCGAGCTACCCGAAGCCATATGGAACGCACAAGATGGGCGAGGCCGTGTGCCTTGAGGATTTCATCTCCAAGCCGGTCGTTTTGCTTTTTGGTGGCCGCAACACGAACACCGATACGGGGGAATCGCAACCGAACGCCCTATCGACGGTGACTCTGTATGATGTTGATACCCATGAATGGTACGAACAAACGACCACTGGACTAGCTGGAACTCATAGATCTGAGTTCTGCTCCGTGGGAGCAAAGGGCAAAAATGGAACGTATGAGATGTAAGTCGACGCCACTCTGCTTTCTGATCGCTTATGATCACATTTAATGCACTGGGAGATATTCTGACCACACCACCCTTCTAGATATGCCTATGGTGGTGATGGAAAAGGCGGCACCCAAGGCAGCGTTTGCATCCTCACGCTGCCTGACTTTCACTGGGTGTGTCCAACTGCACTCAGCAATGGGCCTGCACGTTTGCACCATGTTTGCGTTACGCGAAAGAACCAAATGATTTCTGTGGGCGGTGCTAGAAGCTTCTTCAACTTCAGCGACCCGGACCCGTGGGGGAATGGGCTCGGAATCTTGGACCTCACCGAGTTGAAGTGGAAGAACGACTATAATGCCAGTGCCCCGGAGTATGACTCGCCGGACGTCATAAAGGAGTGGTACACTGATGCGTATGTATATCCTTTTCGCCGTGGTGAATGCCTTCCATTTTATATTTTCGCATTTCTTACATGTTTTCAGCGCACGAGAACAGCCTACATGGGCTAGCGATACCATCAAGGCCATGTTTTCAAAAAGTAAGCCCCCAGATAATTGCCTTTAATCTTCTTGTGGGTGCTAATGGATGACGCTCGTAGGCTCAAACACCACAGACAATAATCAGAATAATACAAACACCACAACGGACAGCTCTGATGACCAGTCAACGGAATCGACAGGAAGCGGTACAAATGTTGGCGCAATCGCTGGAGGCACAGTTGGCGGCGTAGCTTTCATCGCCCTCGTTGCCTTTGCCATCTGGTTCTTCCGCCGTCGTCCAAACACAGATATCCCGGAAAAGGCTGAACTTGAGGAGACATCACCTCAGCACTACCCTTCGCCTCATGCCCATAATGCTACTCCTGCCAGTCACATTAGTCAGAGAAGTCATGTCCATACCAGTCACACCAGCCAGTCATCTCCAAGCGACCCGAGCGACCCCACTGAACATTTGGTCAGCTCACCTTCAACGACGATGCTGCAGAAGAGCTACAGCCTCTCTCTACCAGCGCCGACATTCCAAGATCCTTCACCGGGATATCACGAGATCGCGGCTGATGTGCCTCGAGTTGAGCTGGATGGTGGAATCGTAACTGCTGTTTCGCCCAATAGTACGTGGAGACCAGATGGGTGGTGATACGACTCTGGCATAAACAGCCAAGAAACGGGGCACAGTTCGGGTTTGCGAGCAGCTGTGGCTCTCGTGAAGAATATAGGGGGAATTAATTTCATACTGTATATAAGTAGGGACCTGGTAAACACCAAATAACTTTTCTTTGTAATCAAACAATTGGCCTATTATTGAGGCTAGCCAACACGTTGAGCCGTATGGCAACTTTCCTGGTACTAGCCATACGGAAAGCTTTCACAAGATAACATAATTGTAGTCCTGCCTGTTCTATTCGCGGTCAAACAAAGCTGACGTCGTGGTTGGAATCCTATCAGCTTGTTTGATGATTTATATATGTTTCACCATTCTGAAATCCTGCCCTGGGTCAAACATGCCTGTTTCTGCGTAGTATACTTCCCAGAGCTCTATCAGTCTCTTCAAGATTTCTGGTTCTGCCAAGGAGACGTCATGGACTTCGCCTGGGTCTCGAGCCACATTATACAACTCCCATTGATCACTGCCTCTCGGGGCGGTCATGTAGATCGCCTTCCACGGCCCCTCGCGAATTGCGCGGAGTCCAAATAACTCCCAACCTGTGATCTCCTTTTCCTCATCGTGGAATGAGGCAGATTGTCCGCTGAGATGGGGAGCCCAGGATGAGCCGCGCATAGGGACAATGTCACGGCCATGAAACGGATTGCTCGGTGGGGGGATACCAGCCAGATCCAACATCGTAGGCATAATATCCATGACGGTGCAGAAGGAGTCCGTTTGTGAGAGGGTTGAGGTGACGGCTGGGGGAAAGCGCACGATGCAAGGGCATCGAATGCCTCCCTCAGTGATCCAGCTCTTGAAACCACGCGAGGGCGCCATTGAGGCGCAAGCCCAGGCAGGGCCATACCACACATAGGAATCCCTCATTCCAAGGTTGTTGAAACTGTTATCGTAGTACTTGTCGATGACCTTGCCCATTGTCGTCTCTCCACCCATGAGAGGGACGGCTTCGAGTTTCGACCCCTCGGCCCCATTGTCCGACATGAACAGGACGAAGGTGTTGTCGATCTCATCAGTCTTTTCGAGATAATCTACAACGCGCCCGATACTCTGGTCAATGACATCAACCATGGCAGCGTACACCTCCATCTTCCTGGCCGACGTGGCGCGCTCCTCCGCATCCATCTGCTCCCATTCATGCTTTGCACCCACGGTCATGTCTGCAGGCTCAACATTGTCCGGAATGATGCCCAGCTCTACGAGGCGTTTCAGACGCTTCTCTCTTAGAACGTGGGGCCCTTCATCGTAGAACCCCTTGTACTTTTCGATGACTTGTCTGGGCGCTTGAAGGGGCCAATGCGGTGCAGTGAAGGGCAGATATGCCAGAAAAGGTTTCGTCTTGTCTGTCCGGTTATCGAGATAATCGACCAACTTGTCCGCGAACGACGTGCTCGAATAAAACTGTTCTGGAATATCACGCCGCCGGTCGAGGAACTGGCCGCTTTCCATCCAGAAATTGCCGCTGGACATTGGCCCGAACTGGTCGGCGGCAGGGTCATCTAGCTGAGGCTCGTGGTTGAAGTGGTTGCCGCAGCCGTACAGAAACGCATACGCTTCGTCGAAGCCCCGGGAGCAGGGCGCGGTTTCTTTCGTCAGACCCAAGTGCCTAGAGCATTTCGCCATGTTAGAGGCTGGCGATCAACAGTGGGATGATTGGGCTTGCATACCACTTGCCGGACATGAATGTGCTGTAGCCGGCGTCCTGCAGCACCTCGGAAAGCGCGGCCACTCGGAAGTTGAGATATCCCTCGTAGCCTGGCTTACCATTATAGCGGTCATCTCTCATGAACTCCGCCATCTGGCCAAGACCTGCTATGTGATTGTCGGTACCGGAGAACAGCATGGACCTTGTGGGCGAGCACGCCGATGCGGTGTGGAAGTTGGTCAGCTTGACACCAGAGCTCGCGAGTCTGTCGAGGACTGGAGTCTCTATTTCTGAGCCAAAGGGCCCAATGTCGCTGTAACCCAGATCATCGGCGACAATGATGAGGAAATTGGGCCTCGCGGCTGTTGTCGGGGACATTGTCGTGCGAACTTGGTGAGGTTGAAGGTAAGCACTCGCCCGGGTCTAATTATTCAATGAGCGGAGAAGCAAGGTTGGAAGATCTTGTGCATGTACATGTTGCAATCTTAGTGCTCATGTCCTCTGGTGTTAAGTAGAAGCGGCTGAGTTGTCCTCGCATAACCATTCAGAGATGTTGGTGGAGCAGGAACTATTTGAAGAACCAAATGGATCGATAGCTCGGCTTTTCGATGGTTATTCGCACGCAATCTGGCATGTTGCAACTATTGACTACCAACGCGGAGGTTCGGGGGCGACGATGAAGGAGTTGCAGCAACGGGGAGGCTCGGGGAGACAATCCATTGCAGGGGCTATTGTCAAGTGTCTCCACGACGCGAGCACGCAATTGATGTCTTGTCGACTTCCATAATCCGCAGCTGGATTCTGCTCCCCGGTGCTCCGCGGTGGTCTTCTTTTTGGGTAGCAATTAGTTGGCACTACAACAACTCAATCGTAGGCACAGGCACACACCCACCAGCTCACTCTAGATATCATCAATCTCTCCGACAAATTCCAGTCGCAAATCTCCTTAACTACATCAGCTTTCAACAATTCAGTGTTATCAGGGCGCGGATGCAAATGCGAAACCAACATGAAACATTTGTTGCCAGGCTACGTACTGAGTCATGTCCAGCACTGTCCTGTCAGACTAAGGCCTGGTTGCTTCTCTGAATTGGTCGGACCAGGCTAGACCATCTAGCGGATTACGTGCTTTGGTTGTGGGGTGGCGAAAGAATCATCTTGGCTGTTGTTATGCAACTATGGCAAATCCGTGCTGATAGCATCGACTTTGAACCGCGAGGGTCATATGCCGCTGGGCTCGATCTATATAAGGTAGAATGGTCTTCCGGTGGAAGGAGAGTGCTGAAGTACTGCTGAGAGCAAGGACACGAGGCTGCATCCATTGATCTTTATCCAATTGACCTATTCCAACTGTTGACAATGGAGCAAGCAGCGCCAATCCATCCGACAAGCGGCCTTCGCCGCATCACGAGTGCCTTCAATGGCCGTCTCCTCTTCTCGTGTGGCCTGCTGGCCCTTTCACAGATCAACTTCGGGATGGATCTCAAGGCCTTTGCAACAACCCAGGCGATGCCCTTCTTCGTTCAAAAGTTTGGCACCAAAAACGCCAGCACCGGATCCTACGCGTTCGAGCCGTACTTCCTCTCGCTACTCAACAGCCTGAATTACATCGGCTTCGCGTTCGGCTTGGTATCCGGGAGCTTCATCAGCCGTCGATACGGACGGCGCGTTTCCCTATTCACCATGTGCATTTGGGCCATCGCTGCCGCCATCATCATACTCACGGCCGAGCGCAGGGAGCAGATCCTCGCTGGCCGCATCATTGCGTACGTATATATCGGAATGGAGCTGGCAGTCATACCAGTCCTCCAGTCCGAATTGGTGCCAAAGCACGTTCGCGGGTTCGTCGTGGGCACGTACCAATCTGGGATATTGGTGAGTTTGTCCAGCCATGGCACCTATTGCCTATTTGCAATCCACACTTAGCTGACACCTATGGGAACAGGTTGGCAGTCTCATCATGGCAGTGGTCTGCCGCGGTACCAGTGATATTAAAGGCCATGATTCCTGGCGCATCCCCTTCGGTCTCTTCTTCATTGTGCCCACCATCGTCGCGTGTGGCATCTGGTTTACCGACGAGGTACAGTTACTTTCCAGCTCTTCATCTCCAGTGACTGAAACCCACCATCTTGAATGAATCAATGCTAAGTTGCTACATACAGTCGCCCCGCTGGCTCTTGCTAAAGGGTCGCCGCGAGGACGCATACCAGTGCCTTATCCGTCTACGGAAGGGTGCCTTTTCTGATGAAGAGATTGAAAAGGAATTCCAGGATTTGGAAACTATCACTTCAAGCGTATTAGTTGAGAAGGGGGGTTTTGCCGAGATGTTCCGAAACAGTGAGTGATATGGAGATTACGAGGAATACTCGCAGTCATATTTCTGATACTAATCACATTTCTAGCAAATCTCAAGCGTACTTTAGTCTCAGTGGGAGTCAACTTGTTCCTACAGTTGACGGGCAACATCTTTGTCACAATCTACGGGGCAGTCTTCATGTCCGGATTAAACGGAGTAAATGCGTTCACCATGACCACCATCAACACCGCGGTCAACGCTGTCATCACGCTCTTATCACAGTTCTTGACAGACCGAGTAGGCCGCAGGTACATCTCCCACAATGCCCCTTCTTTTCCTCAAGCCCATCACACTCGTGCACACTATTGCATTTTCAATCTTCAAAGGCCCCGATGGCCTTGGCCGCAAGGTCACTTGTATTGACAGTCATGATGGCTAACCTGTTACCAATGTAGACCACTCTTACTCATTGGCGCCGTGATACAAACAGCAGCACCCCCCACCATGGGCGGCCTTGGAACAATCGCCAACCCCGGCTACCCCGTCCGAGTTGCAATCGCAGTCATGACGACGATATTCGGCATCGGCTTCTGCCTAGGCTGGGCCCCCATCTCTCACATCGTCGCGGCGGAGATACCCTCCTCCCGGCTCAGAGACGTCACATACTCCTTCGGCTCCTCGTTCAACATCCTGGTGCAGTTCGTCATCTCGTTCTGCATTCCTTACCTGCTCTACGCGCCGTATGCCAACCTGGGCTCCAAGGTGGGGTTTATATTCGGGTCGTTTGCACTTCTCGCCATTATATTCTCCTACTTTTTCGTCCCGGAGTGCAAGGGCAAGTCGCTCGAGGAGATAGACGAACTGTTCGCCCGAGGTGTTCCACTCCGCAAGTTTGGCGACACAACAACGACCGGGGCCGAGAGCGAAACCGAGATCAAGGAGAAAGTATAGGAGATCACTTATCATTAACATTTAGAGGAACTTGAAGGTTACCTTGAAGGGTGTGTTTAACTAAAGCCATATGTCAAGCTCTACATGGTAGTTGGCCATAGGATGGCTGCATCTAGAAGCCGGAGCAAAGCCAATAGAACTCTTTTATTCAATTAAAGTCTCTTAATCACGGCCATATATAGGAAAATGTCTTGGATACATTTTTGGAAGATATTTAATGAAGAGTTATTTCCCGTATTTGGTGGAGAGTTCAAGATCGTTCACCTTCCTGTTGCCCTTGTTCCTGATTTTCGGCATGCCTCATCAACAAGTTTACAAAGTATAGCGCGCATTCTTGCAATGTCACTTGCTTCAGTCTCCCACCTCTTTAAGAAATCGATGGCCACCTGCAGTGTGGCGGGCCAGTCTTCCGGTGGCTGCACATCCTTTCGATTGGCGAAGACGGATGCCAGAATCAAGAGCGAGCAGGTAAAAGTCCTCCGCGCGATGAACCACGTCCCGCCGTGGCGGCTCTGCGGGAAGTAGTGATGGATCAGACTTGCGCAGATGTGAAGGCCTTCCGTGGCCAGCGTTATCACCCGCGGGTCTGCGGGTTCGCCGAAACTGTGGTGAAGTGCGTAGTAGAAGAAAGGTCGACGGATCAGCTCACGCCAACCCTGGAAGCGGCCTTTGAGAAACAGCGAGAGCTCATTATCTGGTTGCCCTTCGAAACCACTTTGTATTACGGGTGGGAGATGGCGATACCTTCAGCAATCATATTTGAGAATTAGCATGAGACCAAGGTATAGGGGAGGGACAGCCGCATGATAGACAAAGCCTCACCAGACTTCAATTTGCTTTTCGCATTCCGTAAATTGGACGAAAGCAAGGTTTATATCCTCCATCCACCCGGCCTCAGCCCCAGCGTAGAGCACTTTGAGATGTTGGTTCAGAATCCGTCTGAAAGATATATCTGCAGTATAGAAGAACCAACTCTCTTCCTCATTCACTATTCTTTGATTTTTGCCTCCTTTTGAGTCAACCAAACCACTGTATGACGAACGTGGGTCTGAGGTCTTGGCAGTGCTAGACGGCGGAGTTGGGAACAGATAAGGATACTTGAAGTTCTCAATACCACTCGACTGCAGCGGGAGTTCTCCTACTAGGTCGCTGTCGGACAGGTTAGGTACAGAGGAGCAAGTAAAACATTCGTAGGGAAGGTTTGAAAACGGACCTTTCTGCTTTCATACACGACCAAAATATTCGTGGCTCCAGATGATCGGGGCGTTGCTTATGTGTCATCCGGCGACGACGTGCCAGGTAGGTCTGCAGACGGGAACAGGCATCTTTTATGTAGTCCCATGCCTTCATAATATTCAGTGTGACCTTTTCGTACATGGAGGCGAGGAACAAGCATTGGATATCAATGATTGAGGATCTTAAGAAACCAATCCTCTTCTTTGCCTCTGTGTAAAACGCCTCCGCTATCAAGTTCTTTTCTATGCCCTCAGAGGTCAATTCAACTTGATCAGATGGTGCTCTCCCTTCGAATGGACGGGACAGGCCACAGTGTGCTAAAGCAGAAGCGAGGAGCTAGTCGAGGTCAGCGCCCAGTTTCTAGTCTGAGATCCACGCCACGCGAACGACTCACCACTAGACAGGATCTCGTATCCCATCCCAGCCCGTGTGTCATGACATTATGAGCAGATTCCATCAACCCATCGCCATCGAGAATTGGATTCCTCCTGTGTATCGTGGAGAGGAATCTGTGGCACAGACTCACATAATCAGCCGCATGAACCTGGTGCTGCCTTGTCTCTGAGGCATTCCGCGCTTCAGACGTTGAGGATGGTTGATGCCCCGATTCGTGAAGATTGGGCAGCTCATCTTGGTCCGAGATCCAATCGAGGAGGAACGACTCGGTCCTTGAGTCCCTGGCAGAAAGCACGTCTTCAAATACTGGCCAATGCAGTAACGTCTCGCATCGCGTTGCTGATAAGGCCGTCGCAGAATATCCCTGCGCCCGTGATGTATCACCCACCAGTGCCGGCGCCGATGATGTTTTGACAGTGAAGCCTTGATGTATATCAGGGGCGGGCCATGGTTGGTCATAAGTAGTGGCACTACCATCACCAATCGTGATCGGAGACACCGGGTTGCTGGTCTGTGAAAGAAGTGACTGTATTGCACTCAGACGACTCAAAATCTCCTCGCTGGCAGCATCAAATGGTAGGTTTGCCTCCGACGAGCTGCCGTAGACGCACTTGGCCTTGTGCTGGACGCACGACCCGCAGGCCGGACGGGCATTGTCGCACTTTGTCTTGCGAACCCGGCAGAGATGGCATGCAGTCGCCCCGCGCTTCCGGGGATAGCGAGCAGTGCTGCCGTCGACAAGATGCCTCTTGTTTGTGCTCACCACGGCCGCGTCCCCACTGGACGCTTCCGACAGAGAGGCATCCGTCGTCTTGGACCTGTACGGCGGATTCGAGCTGGAGGCGGCAACTGGCTTCGATCGAACTGCCTGGGCTCGGCCTTGCAGTTCCATCCCACGAGCTAGGGCCAGTCTCTCATATGCAATACAGCACGCGAAGGGTCGGGTCTGGGTTGAGAACAGGCTGTGGTGGTTATTTCAACGAGGCGCAACGCAATTTGTTTCGCTAACGGCGTGCTCAATTAAAGTTTGCTCCACTCTAATTCCTTGAACGATCGAGAGAGCTCGTCTTATTGGTGGGTCAGAGAGCCTCTCCCATGACAGCGGCATACCATTAAATCTACCTAGGTAGTTCATCGTCGTTCATGATCGTCATGTGCCTTGAGATAGAGCTGAGAGTTAGGTTTCACATCATACTATTAAAATGCCTACAGATTGCCACTTACAATATGCGAACCGGTGAGAATATTGATGAATATTATCCAGGTCTCCCCACCATTGATTACAAAAATTAAAGACATGAATAACGGTGAGGTCCCGGTGTTAGAAACACAAAAGAAGAAAAAGAAAAGAAAAGAAAGTCCGCTTTTTGCTGTTTTCAAACGAAAGTATAGTTGCGTGACTGATGCGGTTTTTTTGCTATTCTCAAGGACTATTAACTTTCACCGGCATTTTATTTGACTGTGATAATGAATAACGTAAGATTTGGATTGGGCATATGGAAAGTTCGCGTTTCTGATGCTGGGACTCCGGTGTGAGTTGCTTGGTTGCTTGGCATTAGGCACTACAACTTCCACTTCCACTTCCAAGCTCCCTCACCGGTTCCCTTCATCGCTTCAAACCGCACTCCTGCTACTGCGACTGCAGCAGAAGCCATCAATGCACCGACTAGTGCTGCCATAGGGGTATAGCTGCTAGAATCTCTGGATACACCGTGTGCTGTAACAAGTACACCCGCGACAGGCGTGCCTACAAGGGCAGCCAATCCCTGCAACATATACATGATGCCCGCGATCCGTGGAAGTTCCGTAACACCAAACAACTCGATAAGAGCTGCCGGGAATAAGCTGATAAATGCGCTGGCGAACAATCCGTATAAGACGGTAAAACTGATGAATAGATTCCTGGCCATTGCCTCGTCGTAAATTCCAATCAACGTACTAGGAACCCAGAGGCCTAAACAAACAAAGGCAGTGAGCAAAGTCGTGAGAAAGAACGAATTGAGTCTGCCCAGTCTGTCGGCAATGAATCCCACAGCAATCTTGCCAATCGCGTTGCATGCATTGCTTACTGCCGTCAGGTTTGCGCCATCTCTTTCGTTGTACCCCAGGCTCTTGGTATACATGACGGTGAAGAAGACCGGGGTATAGTAGGCGGCACTTTGGAATAGCGTACTAGCAGCCTGTATGATGAATATTCGCTGCTTCGCCATTGACCAGCCGGGAAGTGGAATCTTGAAGAGGGCGGTTCTTGGAGAAAGGGCTTCATTCTGGGTCGAGAGGTGCTTCGCCATTGACAACTCCCAGTCGAGAACAGACCCCGAGATACCGATAAGTGCAGCAGCAACGCACCCTGTTACCCGCAGCGTGTTCCGGAACCCCAAGCTATCAATGCAGGCCGAAATTGCTGGCGCCCAAACGAGGCCGCCGATCCCTGTTCCGGCAGAGACTATGCCCATGGCCAAACCTCGATGCTTATCAAACCAAGTTGGGGCGACAGTCATGGACGGCACAAACGAAAAGCCAGTAGCAAGTCCTAGCAACAGTCCTTGTGCAAGCTGGAAATGCCAAAGGGCCTTGCCGAAGCTCGCCAAGACGGACGCTATACCAAAGAGCACCCCGCCAGCACACACGACAGGCCGAGGCCCGAAGTATTTGGTCCATGCCATGACAAAAGGGGCCACAATTGTCATCAAGGACGCCGACAAAGTCCCTATGAGATCAATAGCAGCCGAAGAGGCGCCGGTAAAGGGAGTATCGGGTATGGGAACCATGGTCTCGTAGTGTTCTTGGTAGACACCAAAGCCAAAGAGAACACCACATGCTGTGAAGTTGATCATGAACGAGGCGAGAACAATTGATGTGTATCTCCTAATATTGAAGTTAGCATGCGTCGTTTGCCTACATAATTATATAGCCTACCACTTCGAGTGTTGCAGTGAATTGGCGTCGATTGCCAATCCTGAGTCCGAGGCGGCCATGCTGGTAGTGTGTCATCTACTTGGAAGACATTCATACTGAACAAACTGAAGAAGACTCTTGGGAAGCCGCCAGTGATATATATAAAAGAAGTACTTTTCTACAGGTCGGCCCTGACTACGGAATACCCGTTCAAGAAGGCATGGGGTCGGAACTATGCCGCGGGCCGTTAGCTTGGCTATTTAGACTCGACTCTGCCACTATTACCTAACGCCAACATGGCATTGGCAAGAGTTTGCGATCAAGCTCCGCTATTTCATCCAACCGATTAGCTTCTGGTTGTGTATGAGTCGGTACACCTGCATGTAGTTGAAATGACTACTCCGCTTTACGCACCGCTCGACTATTGAGTCATCGGCCTCAATGCTGAAATTTTTGCTTCAGATCTCACGCACCGACTTCTCCCATGTTTTTGACCGTAAATTATAAATAGGTACTCTCACAAAGTCTACTCGTAGCTCTCCAAGGTTCTGTCGTCACATCTCCGCCTACCTCGTTTCTGAGTCTAAACACTATAGACTGGCTTTGACATTTCTTTCAAACATGACTTTGGATCCTTCTCCCATTTCTTCCTCTGCGCTGGATATTATTGGCAATACACCAGTAATACAGCTCAAGAGTGTAGTCCCCGAGAACAGCGCAGATGTCTTCGTTAAGCTGGAATGCTTCAACCCAACGGGGTCATATAAAGATCGCATGGCGAAATCCATGATCGAGCAGGCGGAACATCGTGGAGACCTGAAACCCGGCATGACTGTCGTTGAGGCGACGGGTGGCAGCACAGGCGCATCTCTGGCCTTCATCTGCGCTCTCAAGCGGTATGCGTTTCTGGCGCTCGCGGCCGATTCGATTGCGCCCGAGAAGTTGCGGACAATGAGTGCTTTTGGCGCAAAGCTCGACATTACACATAGCCCGTCGGGGAAAACAACGCCGGATCTGATGGCATCTATGAACCGGAGGGCTGCCGATCTTGGGTCTCGAGATGAGTATCTCTATACCGACCAGTTTGCCAACCGGGATGCACTCATCGGATACGCTCAAATTGGCCACGAATTAGTCAAGCAATTTCCCACGGGGTTTGATGCATTCTGCGGTGCGTTTGGCACGGCAGGCATGACCATGGGTGTGTCCAGAGTGATCAAGGCTTATGACCCAAAAACCCGAGTCATCTTACTAGAGCCGGAATCTGCGGCCCTGTTGGCAAAGGGCCAAAGTGGTCCGCATGGTGTCGATGGCACTGCGCCGGGCTTTATCTCGACCCATGTTGACCGGGAGTTATACGACGAGGCCCGCACGGTTGACGAGCAGGACGCTCGAGCCATGTGCCGCCGTCTAGCAAGGGAAGAAGGCCTTCTAGTTGGAACCTCATCAGGCCTGAATATTGCTGCTGCCATTGAGCTGGCTAAAGAGCTGGGTGCCGGGAAGCGAGTGGTCACAGTTGCTTGCGACACTGGGCTGAAGTATCTAAACGGCTCTCTTTTCTCAGAGGACTCGGAGTAGCCATAGCGTTTTCCCTAAGCATAAAGGAGCTATTCTAAATCCTGATGATATTTTGACCAATAACGAAACATGGGCAGGTACTTGTCTGTTCTCAGGCTCAGATCCCTTAATCAGTTTCATTTTAGAACGACTGTACGTCATCTTTCCATTAATATGCGTTGATTACGGGTGAGTCGATAGGTCGTGTCTTTTGGTTATCTGAGGAGGGGAAGGGCGGACAAAACATAATAAAGGTTTGGCAACGCAAAAGGCTGGAGTTATGTAGGAATATCGCACATACAGAGGGTCGCCGTGAAGGGAACGAATGAGTGGTGGATGTGAGTTTTGGGGCCTTTCTCCCCCGTCAAGATCCTTCTAAGATAGCATGATGCTCGAGTTTGTCTGTGTTATCTTCCTCTCTTGGATGCCAATTCTCACCAATCTGATTAGCGTGTTCACTCTCCGATCGCAAACTCTTGCCAGTTTCTTTATCTTCAGCACGGGCCTAGGCAGAGTCTGGCAAGTGTGTTCTCCTGCTCTACCCAATCCTTGTCGCACTTGGACCTATCAACATGTTCTGGCTGTTGAAGGGTGTGCCGATTGGGGAAATTTAACTGACCATGTGTTCAACACCAGAAGAGTCACGCAGGTTCCGGCATCGGGCCCAGCCATTGCTCATCCAATGCGGAAAATGCCGGCCGGTTGGAGGGAGCTATTCTGTAACGGTACAATAAGAACAATTCAATATGCGATCACCCCGCTCTCAAAACGAGAATGTATAAACGAATGTTGGGAGACCGATACTTTCTGAAATGTCACCCTCAAAACACTGGCAGAAGGGCACCACAACACACCAAGGCACTACTTTGGCCTCACAATCCTGTAAGGAATATTCCTGCTTGCCTCTTGCGTGCCAATCTACCTTCAGAAAGCACTCAGCAGTATGAATCTTGCGGATTCCATAATGGGGTTCACCTCAAAACTCCTGGCACCAGCCCGATCGCAAAAGCAAACAACCACCCGGGAACCCACAAGTCTAGAATGGGCGCTACAAACCCCTACACCAACACTGATTGACGGTGTCGAGGCATTCACCGGTGCCCCGGTAATTGGAGAGATCATACTCGATAACCGAGAAGCCCTCGACGTCAACAAGTTTTGCACGACATTACACCTTCATCGCTACTATAAGAACCCCCTTCACCCCAGGTGCTTCCATTGTGCTCATCACTACGTGGAGCTCAAGCAATGGGTGTTTGTTGATATTCCCATGGCGTTGTCTAGTGGAAAACACTCTTTCGTATTTTCTACACGCTTAGAAAATGACCTCCCATCATCATTGGGCACACCTTTGGCAGACTTCACTTACGAATTGTCTGCCGAACTAACATTAAGCACTGGAACATTGATTCGATGGAACAAAAACCTTCCCGTCAAGCGTTCTCTCTGCAGGTCGGGCGACCTTCAGAATGTTACATTTAGTTTCCCAGATGCCAGCATTGACGCTGACCTGCGAATGAAACAAGTCATTGAACCCAACGGCATAAACAGTGTATGGCTCTCTCTTTCCGCAATCAAGAACCTCCCTGAAAGAGGAAAATACATATGGGAACCTACCAAGGTGGAATGGAAGTTTGAAGAAACAATAGAAGCCACGTTAGGCACTTGCACCACCCACTCTGAAGATCAGGATAACGCACCTAACAGTCGGAAGCAAACCGTTACTCACACTTTGGCAAAGGGTCGTATTCACAGTGGCTGGAGATCAGGCCAGGGTGCACAAGGTTCTTCCTCGACCTTGAAGTTTGAGTACGGCCCCATCTCAGAGGTGGCGACAAAACGCAAAACCACCTTCGCATGCGACGAGGCGATCAATAATATGCTGACTGTTTCGCACGCCCTTGTTGTGGAGATTTCACTGTCGGCCGTAACGATGTTGCTTGACGAAGCTGCGGGTTCGTTAGCATCTAACAGCTCCCGGATTATAAGACTGCGCAGGCCAGTTGTGATCACTGAGCCCCGGAATGATCTGGAGAGTGTTGATGATACACTGCCTAGATATACAAACGTTCAGCTTGATCTTCCTGCTTATGAGGAGCCGTAGCCCACAATAATGGCAGCAACTTTCTATCGTTTATAATGGCACTACTGAATAAGCATAGTTTACATCAAATGTGAGAGACAGCCAGCTTAGCCATTCTGCTTTCTCTTGGCACTTGGCTTCATGAGAGTATTCTCCTAAGAGCCCTGCCCAAACTCTCAGGACTCTCTCCCCCACACAAAGAAGTCAACGATCAATCACCAGACCTGCCACTGAGGAAGTTTCTGACGTCATCCTTAGTTAGGGACCGAGGCGAGATTATCCTTGACATTATGCTAGAAACCTTGGATTGCTTGATTATTAGGCAAGAGCTGGGGCATGAGAGTCGAACCAATAAAATTAGCATTTACTTCGCAAACTCCTGCCTTTAATTCTGGCTTATGGATTTGCCTAACTGTTTTGAGTCAGTTCCCCCGAAGCCCACCACACCCGGAATCAATCAAAACCAACCAGGTTTCCATTGATAACTGTGTTTATCCGGATGATGAGATGCGATGTCGGAACTTTCAGGCAACCCACCTCCGAAGACGCCATCAACGTACCATCTTTAAGTAACGATTCCGGAAACGACCTGTTCAAGAATTATTAATGAGAAGTGGGGGAAGTCTATGATACTCCAGATCCTCAGTACTCTAGTCACTCATGCGTCCGACCCCTGACTTTCCCGCTTACCTTTTGAACAGTTCCGTCAAGAAGCCAGTGCTCGTTAAGAATTGAGAAAAGACATGAAAGTGGCTATCAACTGAAAGCCTCGAACTCGAATAATTAGTAGGCAGATAGTAGAAGGCGGTTAACCCAATTCCATAAATAAAAGGTTTGAATGTTGTCAAAGGTTGCCCTAGATGGAACTGTCTGTCGGCTGCTGTTCGTGTATGCGAGTTACACAGTTGAGCACTGGCCACCAATTGGAAACAGTTGTGAGGAAATTTGAGGTTCTTGATGCCGTTCGGAGCGACCAGCTTACAGAATATCGTATTAGGCGCTGTTTCTTCTAAATCCGTGGGTAAATGCTCATTAACTGATGGGAAGCGCGTAGAGAAGTCCGATGATGACGGTTTGATCGCAATGCCAACCATACAAATTAGATAGAAAGTCCCGCCAGCCTTTCTTAGATTCCCTAGAGTATGAAAATCGTCTTGTTTAGCAACGGGGAAGTGCAATTTGTTCTTTCAGAGGCCTGTATTCTCCATGACATATGTCTTGGCTGCGCGCATTTGCATTCTAGCAGCACTTTCAATATATTGATGCCCCAGAATTGCATTCTTAGGAGCCAATTGTCCCTCCATCTATTCAAAATACATCGTGCTGAGATTAATATCTCGGACTTGGTGTTGTGCGCGCTGTTCGCTGTTCTGTCCCACTTGGCTTGGCCTAAATGAAGTCAATGCCTATTCTTTCTTACAGTCGGTCATCTGACCGGACCTTCCGGAGTTCGTTCGACGGGAGTGCCGCTTGCCATGGGCCTATCGGACCGTCCAATGGCTAATGATGGAAAGGGGTGTTACGGAGTTTCCGTCCGAACATGCACATTTACTACCGAGATGCATCGCCATCTCGCGACGCCGAGACAAGATCAAACCCGAGATGCGATAATCACGTTCGCCCGCGGACTCGGACAGTCTAGAACTTTACTAAGCTGGAATTTTTGGACTTTTGTCCGGCACCGAGCGGCGTTTATGTATCCAGGCTGCTGTACCCCGGACTTTGGAACATGGCGGAGATAATGCTCGCTTAGAGCCGCGGGAGTGAACTAACTATTAAGCCGACACGCTCCCGTCCGTGGTCTTGCATTTCCCACAAATATCGAGCTTAATCTAAATCATTGTTGATAATAATTCATTGGATATTTCTTTCTAGCTCGGGATGCCCGCTCGAAACCAGCCTTCCAGCCAACCTCGGCGCCAACGTCGAAGGCCCCCCCTTTCCTGTATCGAATGCCGTCGGCGGAAAGTCAAGTGCGATCGTAAAGTCCCATGTTGCCACTGCATACTCTGGAAAATACCATGCCTCTATAGTCCGAAAACCCCTTCGGCTAGTGCCAGAGCGAAAGGTCGACCTTCAAGTACGCCACTCACTACGAACAGCTCCCTTGATGGCACTGTGCAACCGCCAGGGCATCCGTCACCCGAAACAAACGAGAATAATGCCGGCGAGGAAACGATGTCAACTTCCCCCAATCCGACATCGAATACGAAACAAGACCCAGCCGAACTAGAACGCCGACTCTGCGCACTGGAGCAGATGGCCCGGTCATTTGCTCCGGCGTGGGCCCTCGAGAGACTAGACGAGGCATCGAGCCACTCGGCGCCCGCTTGCAACGGAGATGCATTCTCCTTCCGGAAGCCTAGCTTATATGGGAAGACTCACTGGTCAGATGGAAGCCACATTGTACGCTGCAAAGTTTCCCGATGGCTAGGGCTCGACTGAAAGAACGACAGTTTAGAAACATATCCGCGTTCCTGAACGCGGAGTCGGATTGTGCTGCAGAGAATGAAATCACCAGGCGCTTGAAGTTAGACATGCGGGCTACTGTACTAAAGTATAAAACACTCGCTAAGAGTTTGAAGTCGTCCCAACCCGGTAGATACTTCCCCAGTCCCGACATTAGTCTGCCCACAAAGGCTGTCGCGGACAGGATGGCGCAGCTCTACGTTTCACGGTTTGAGTCGGTCTTTAGGATTGTCCACGTACCCTCCTTTTGGAAAGAGTACGGGCAGTGTTGGAGCAACCCGATAGACACGCCAGATATTGTCAGGATCAAAGTCCAACTAGTTGTAGCTATTGGATCCAGCCTGTGTCCTGAGGCGCATAGTACGCACGGTCTCCGGTCAGCAGCAGCTCAGACAGTACATGACGCACAGAGATGGATCTCTGGGCCCTGGGAGAAGAACAGGATTAGTATCGGGGGGTTGCAGATCCAGTGCTTGTTGATTCTTGCCCGACAAGTTCTCAACGTAGGCGGAGATCTGGTCTGGGTCACGATGGGCACAGTTGTCCGAACAGCGATGCATATGGGCCTTCATCGGGATCCTCGGCATTTTGAGAAGATGACGGTTTTGTAAGCAAACGCCCCTGGTCGTGAATAATGATAGGCTCTCGGCGTGCTGACGGCAGATTCTGTACCACTAGGCATGGCGAAATTCGGCGAAGATTGTGGGCCACGATCCTAGAGATGAATGTACAGGCGGCGTTGGATGCAGGCTCTCTGCCTGCAATTTCCTTTGACGATTTTGATACAGAAACACCATCGAATTGCAACGACGAAGACCTACACGACGAGATATATGAACTAGAACAACGCCCGGGTGACACGGTGACAGATGCATCACTACAACGCCACATTCTTACTGTTCTGAGACCACGAATCGAGATAGTTCGCTGCATGAACAGACAGCGCAAGGAAGTAGATTATGAAGAGGTCTTGAGATTAAATTCCGTAATCATTGATGCTTGCCGTCGCTGTGTCACCCTTACAAGAAGGGCTGTCTCTGACGGCGGGGAAGTGTTTAGGGGGAATATGGGGGATCTTCTCCTCCGTCGCTTTCTAGTCTCTCTACATCGCCCCTGGGTAGACCGGGCTCGTAAGAACGCTCTGTTCTTCTCATCGAGGAAGCAAAGCCTGGATGTGGCAATGGCCCTACTCTCACCACCTCGGGAGGAAGGATTTTCCCATCTTTGTATGCTTGGTGGAGGGATATTTAAGCATCGCCTGATCCATGTCACGCTGACATTATTACTGGAACTTCTGGTAGAAATAGACGAGCATGACGGGAGTCAGCCTCCGGAGGAGCCTTGTAGCTACAGGAAAATGCTGATGAGCGGGGTTGAGGAGACGCGTCGGCAATGGGAGCAGAGGGTTCAATTGTGCGACACTAGTATGAAGCTACACATGAAGATATGCATGATATTAAGGCAGGCTGAAGGGGCAGAGACAGGAATCGCATTGCAGCAGAGTATGGCACAGCACGGGAAAGCAAGCCTAGAGTCATCCTACTCACTGCTCGAAAGCTCCTCCGGCTTACAGCCACTGGATGCTGGACCGACCGGTATCTCCGGTGACCTTTTGCACCCTGGAGACAACTTAGAGTTCGTTGATTTCGATGATATCTGGCGCTTTGATGACCTCATGGCATATGGAACGATTGGTCATTCTTTTTGGTAGTCTAGGACAGCTAAGGAGAGTGGAGATCATGCAATTAATAGCGATCGGATATATGAGTGTTCACCATAATGCGTGTATTCCTCGCACACACTGACAGATTGTGACGCAAACACCGCGGACACAGTCGCTCCTGTAATACTCCGCGGCTTCATCGGCACCAGGTTGGCGAGTTCTTATCTCCGCGGACATATCGCTATACTCAACCCTCGTGGCGTTGATTAAGTCGAGATCACAACTACTCCGAGGGCCTATCGGTGTATTGTATTATCATGATCATCACAGTCATGGATTGGAAAGGAATAATCTGAAATTGTCCAAATAGAATTGCCCACAACTGTGTATCTATATAAGGGCAGCTCAAACTCTCGCTGTCTCGATCAACAGTTGCTATATCCCAAGACCTCAAATAAACATTACAGTTCCTGGCTACCTCTAGCGAAGTTACTACATCTCAAAATGTCCTCCCAACAGACCCTCCCGTCTCAGCACCGTGCTCTGGTTCTTGAAGCCATCAATGCTGGTTTTGAAATCAAACAGCTTCCAACCCCCCAGCCCATTCATGGCAGCGCCATTATAAAAGTCGAGCAGGCTGGCATCCTGTCCTACCACCGCGAGATCTACAACGGAGTTCGCAAATACGACTTCCCCAAGCCCATCGTGGGCGGGTGCAGTTCTGTCGGCCGCATCGTTGCCTTGGGACCCGACGCCACGTCCTTGAAAGTTGGTCAGTTGGTCTACGCGGACTGTGTCATATACGGCCGCGATGACCCTGATCACCGCTTTCTCACGGCCATTCACCACGGCGGAATCGAGGGAAGCCAGAAGCTGTGCAGAGACGTTTGGCGAAATGGACCATTCGCCGAATACCTGATGGCACCTCTGGAAAACTGCATTCCGCTAGACGAGACAAGACTCTGTGAGGAGCTAGGTTATACAATAGAGCAGTTGATGTATATCAGCTGGCTCATGGTTCCATTCGGCGGATTCCGCGACATCGATCTCCAACCCGGGGAGACAATCATCATCTGCCCAGCCACCGGCCCATACGGAGGTGCGGCTGTTCAGACGGCCGTCGCCATGGGCGCGACAGTGATTGCCATGGGCCGCAACGAGGCAGAACTGGCAAGGTTAAAAGCACACGTGCACAAGGGCACCCCATCGGCCAGAGTCGAGACTGTCAAGATCTCGGGCGACCAGGCTGCCGACACTGCCTCTCTGCAAGCGTTTGGTCCCGTCGACGCGGTGCTGGACTTTTCGCCACCCATGGCAGTCGCGGCAAAGTCGACTCATCTGAAGAGTGCCTTGTCCAGTCTGCGGCGCAATGGACGAGCGAGTCTGATGGGCTTTGTCGGCTCCGATATGCCGATCGACTCGTGGAGTTTCATTAGCAAGAACATCACTTTCAAGGGAAAATTGATGTATGAGAGAGAGGATATGCTGCTATTCATCAAGATGTTGCACGGTGGACTGTTCCCGAGGGGAGAGGATTTTGCAGAGGTAAAGACGTATTCGCTGGAGGACTGGAAGAATGCATTGGATGCAGCGGCAGAGTTTACTGGAATTGGCAGGCTTGTTTCGCTGTCGCCAACGATGGCTGCATAAAGGGAAGAGGGATGGTCTTGCTTGGAAGCGTATCAGTAGCTGTCTTTTCGGAGAGAACTATTCTTCCAATCCTCAAAGAAGAGCTACCATCAGGCGGCATCTAACAATCCATTAGTATAACACCAGAACAGACACAGAGATGAACAGTTCGGCTTCCCTGGATCGCGTCCAGTGTACGGTGATGACATGTTCAATGAGCTTTCAGATCCGATGCAAGTGCTGTTGTGAATGCGGATCAAATAGATATATACACCGCGCCACCAAGTCAGCGTCAATTGGGCCGCATAGAAAAGCCTATAATCATCCGGGATTGCGGTGGCTTGCAAACAAGCCAAGTGCAATCATCATCAGTGTGGCGCAGATGAGCTGCTTCAGCAGGTGATTGGCTCGCTCGCCTCCATGCGCCTCGCATCAATAACAGAGGCTGTGCTGTGTGTTTGTGTTGATGATCGTCGGTGGTAGCGTCAGTGTCCGCGTATTCGCCTGCTGATCATCTTGGCATGGTGATATAAAACAATCTCCAGGGCAAATAGATGCGGTATCCCCGATAAATCAACGGCACAGTGCTCTCTGGTCCATTCTGTCCCTCCCTGGATCCAACATCCATCTCACTTGGCGCCATGCACTTCTCCCACAGACTTGGCATCCTCCACGGCGTGGTTGAGACTCGCCCGGCCTGCACGCTACAACATCCCGTACCTCCGATTCTCAAAGGTTTCTACCAGCGTAAGCTCCTGACAGGCACATTCCATCTAGGAGAGACATCTGACCATCCACTGTATGCTGTCAGCGTCCAGTCAGGATGGGGTGGCAGCCCGCCTGGCGTTACTCTCTACAGTGGCCCAACAAATAAACACCCAGTCCTGGCCAAAGCTGCCGATGAGACTGGATTGACGCACAACGTTCTTAATAGTGTCATCAAAATGCCTCCACTCCCTGGAACCCATCAAGCCACCGTGGAAAATTTGCGCGCAGCAGTCGACCGCGAGACCGCCACCTTTCAATTTTCTGTCGATGTTGGATATGCCCATGATCTAAAGCGTGAATTTTTTGAATGGCGTAAGATCGAAACCAGCCATGAGGAGGGCATCCTTCCTCCACTATTCAAATCTGGCTTCAAACTCGTTCGTATGGGTAGCGGCGGCGTCTTCCGGGAACCAGAAGTGGTTGCAACAATCGCATTCCACGATGGCAGGACCATGACCCTGCCCTTTATTTTACAATTTTACTCATCCCTCGGAGATCGGTGGGCTATCATGGTGATTGTCACTGGGTTGAAAATATGGGCACTCAACATACAGGGGAAGGCAACAGCTTCGTATATTTCTGCACAGGGAGACGGGTGGGTGACCGGTACCAGTGGTTAGCGAATGTTCATTCTTTTTACATTTGGTTCGGGTCATCATTTTCGCCTCCTCTTGGCTTCTTTCGACTATCAAAACGGCGTTGGGTTATAATTTGTTCTAGAATGGGGGTTAGGGTCAACGTATGTAAATATGATTGCGGTTCAATCTAAAAACAGCACTTTGCAATTAGATGCTATATGATGCCAGTATACATAAAATAAATCTCCACTAGTTTGTAGAAAAAGATTGCCAGCCAAGAACTTAGAGAAAATTCCACAACCAAAAGAATCAATTATCTGGAGTCATCAGACCCCAAGAGTTCTGCTGCCTCTGAATTTTTCAAATCCTTTATAACTTGAGAACTCATGAAGTTAAATCGGCGGTATCCCATCGGACAGATCAGGTGCAAGTAACAAAAGGGGCTTGCACTACCGATGGCCGTCAACTTTTTTGGACTGGCTACAACACACGGGTTCGATGATTTATTCGGCAGTTACTGAATCATTATGGCATCATAAACTTGAGAATAGAAACGAATGATATATTGAGAATAGAAACGAGTGATTAACTGAAATGGAAAATTGAAATCAAAAACTAATGCAGAAATGCAGTTCATTAAAACAGGCAAACTAAAACCTGTCGAGTGGTCATATTCAACGCTCTCAGAGCTTGTTCTCGACAGGGCAGTCCACCTGCGTCGTTCACAGCTAGCGAGATGCTGTCTAGGAGAATGTAGGGCGCTTTTCGGATCAGCGCAAGCTGCTGTCGGCAGATGCGCTGGTCAATGACACTTCCCGGGCCCAGATCAAGCCTTGGACCTTTGGAAAGCGGAATCCTCGGTATCGGAGCCAGAGGCCTTGCCAGCGAACTGGCCAATCTCTCTGGCGGACTCGCCGGGCTTGATAGCCAGACCGGGGTGGCCAATGAAGAGAGAAATGGCGCCAAAGATCATGAAGACACCCTCCATGATGATGAAGGGAACTTCGTGGGTGATGGCGGCGCCGCTGTAGCCCTCCTTGAGCTCGTACACACGGAAGGCACAACGGGCGAGGATGAAAACGACCGAGGCAGTGATACCGGCGACGAAGGCCTTCAGACGCCATTCGAGCTGGGGCAGGCGACCAGCGCGGAAGAAGCGAACGAAGAAATCACCAAACGCAGCCATGAACCCAACAAGAACAATGAGCTGGAGGGACAAGCCCGCCTGGCTGATTTTGTTACCAACCTCGGAGGAATTATCGCTAGAGCCTGTAACGGAGATGGCACCACCGGCAGCCTGGAGGATGAGGCAGATAATGTCGGCAGGAAGGAAGATCCAGACCCAAACCACTGGCTTAACGCGAGTTAGGTCAGGGGCAAAGTGGGTAATGCTTACGGAAAGAGTGACGTAGATTCCGGCGGTATAAAAGATGGGAGCAATAGTCAAGGCAACAGTCTGAACGACGAAAGGCAAAAACTTGAAAGGGTTCTTGTGTAAGACGATTCGGCAAGCATAGCCAGCAATCTCAAGAAGGCAGCCAAGGATCATGCTGACCATGTAGCCCCATGTCTTCCATCGGACGCCGAGGTAGATGTGACCGATCATGATCAGGCCGAAGATGACGGTAAGTGCAGTGTTGACAGGCTTGGATGGGTTGTACTTGTAGATGGTGGTCTCGATAGAGCAGACCTCTAAGGTACAGTTGGCGTTTTTACCGAAGCTCTGGTAATACTGGCCATCGAGACCTAGGACAAGTGGGCGAACCATTTTGACTGATCTGAGTGAGTCAAGCTGTGACTGGGCAGAGTTGTCTTTCGTTTGTTGGAGTGTGTCTCACGGTCCCAAGGAAATTTGCTCGAGAAAGAGAAAGGAAATGAAGAGATGAGTGTAAAGAGGAGCTGACGAAGAGAAAGCCAAGGAAAAGTGAGAGAATATAGGAAAAGAAGAGTGCTGATGAGTGTTGAGAGTCTGGGATCCCATTGTCTGTGCGGTTCAAGCTCCTTTATATAGACTCAGAATCCATCAGGTTATGTGACCATGCGGCGTATAACTCCACCTCACCGACACAGAATTCATAGGGACCGAGTGTTGCGGCCAAGCTGAGGCCGTCGCTTACATGACCACAGGGCGCAGTGACTAACTAGCGTTTTGGATGCTTATTACAGACGACCAACGGCAGATAAGATGCACGACGGGGTTGTTCAGCCCTGTACTGAATACCAGATCCACCCTTGGCGAGATTGGCTAAAGGGAGCATGTTGCCGAAACCGAGAATATCATGCCAGGCAAGCTGCACTCACCCTTGCTCGCACACTTGACTGATCACCAACAGGGCAGGCTAGCAACCAACTAATTCATGCCCAGGCAGTGCACGGCCCCATCCACCTACAAACACGCGTCGAAAATTGAGAACTTGGGGAAATAAAAACGTGCTGGCCTACACCAAGCTACAGTATCCAGAGCACCGACCAGCCGAGTGCTCTATCAATTCCAGAACTGCCGACTGATTGCCCTACCACTTGACAAGAAAATGGACATCAATTGCGACAGGGGTCGTAGATAGAGCTTCGGCGTGTGCCTTAGGTGATGAAGAGCCCTGACGCCGTATCTTCCCTCCTTCAGCCCAACGACTCCAAGATCCTGACCCCTGTCTGGCCTTCACGTTGCCGACCCATGCCACTGTCCCGACCAACAGCTCACGCTGGGCACGTTTCAAAGCCCCCGTTGGCCAAAGAAGCCAAATGGTGTCCCAGCTGGGCGACATTAGTGCCGACAGCCGTACAGAGTAGCACTGCAGCATCCCTCCTGCGGCTTATCCCACCTCCCCGCCACAAATAGACCAGCTGGATCTCTATGTTGGCTTACCAACGTAATTGCGTATTTTTAGATATCACGGCAGTCGCCTCAACGCCCTTCTCTCTGAGAAATAAAGTAAATGATCCTTCAACCGCTCCCTGCTCTCCTTGGGGTTAAATGAAGACGGCTGAGTGGACGTGCGCAAGGGACCGAAATTTTCAACCCGACCGGTGAGCTGAGCTCCTTCACATGGGTCCCTCCCGCTGTTAGATCTCTGTCCCGTCTGTGGAGTAAAATCGCATTGGGATTTAATTTTATTTGCCGCCTCCCCCACTCACCAACCAACTCACCATATTTCCCGAAGTGGACGTATTTTTTTTGCGCTGACATCGTTGGTGATGCGTACGGCATGATGGCCCGTCTTCTAAGGCCACCATGGCACCATACTCCGATCCTCTGTTGGTGGTCGTTCGTGTAAAGCCTCTTGATTCGTGCTTTTGGTCCTTTGTCAAAACCAATCTAAGATTAGCGGGCGCGCTTCTGACAGGGGTGGTGCCCCTTGTCGTCCTGAAAAACATTGGCCGGCGGCCGAAAACAAACCGTGTTGATGAGATAACTTGAGGGCATCAGATGGGAAAACCAACATCAAGTGAGAAAACTCGGACCGTGGCGACGGCAAGGCAGTTTTTTTTTTAGAATTAGCCATCACAAATAGCCCTCTGTTCGGGTTTGCTACATGGAGCATCAGTTTCCGCGCTCGAATTCGGTGTCAGATGAGTGCTGTGACATGATTTCCACAATTTAGCTACACTACCAATAGATGATGTAGATTTGACCTCCTTGGTCTTCCCGGGCCTAATTTAGAAAAATGTAGTCATGTGCAAAAGTTGGACGTAACAAAGTCTTTTATGTTCAGACTTGGGCTCATGGTGCCATGAAGTGGCTGCGATCACCATCCTCTACAAGTGCATCTTTGAAGTCTAAGCCCCACCTGACTGACCATTTTCATCTCCCATATTAACGGTTTGGTATTGAGGAGTATGGACTCATATGGCCTTTATTTACATAGGAACTCAGACAGTAGGTATGTAGTTTGGAGCTATGCGTATATGTTGCATACCTCTAAGTATAGGGTAAGACTGACGCGTGCTCAATGTTGGTTGTTGTTGGCACGTGACCTTATCCTTTCTGCCGCTCTGAGCGCACAGACTAAAAATAGCATAAAGCATTGACGCTATGCCCAAATCATTTCTTCCTACAACCCTCAACCGTAAGCTGAGAATACGCCACAGTAAAGAGATTGAAATTCAAGATAACACCAATGACCTAACATCACAGATTATTGATTTTTTTTTTTTTTCAATATATAGGCTATCATTATATCATAATGCTATTCAGTCATTCATAGAACAACAGGGTTATAACTTTTACAACAGGCTGAGAGTGGGGGTTTGAAGTGTCCCTTTCTTCAGGCCAACACTTAACTTATGGGGCTACCCTCCATGGATCATCAGATAATGTTGGAAAGAAACGTAATGCCTGCCACGAAAGAGAGCACTCATTCCCAATTAGTTTTCACGAGAATTGACGCTAGTTTTAAAGAGTGACTCACTCCTACTCGGCTACGACTCATCGTGGGTGCGTGGGGATCTTTTGGTTTCACGCGTAGCTGGGCCGAACGCTGCAAGCGATATGGGTTTTAACGTAGGTGAAGATGAGTAGCAAATCGCTATCACTTAAGGTCGTTGCCTTTGAGTACTAGAGATGGCAAGATTATTACTCGGTGAAGCCCAATCTCATCCGACCTACCTATCAGCAAGCTGATCCACCAACACAGCCATATCTCTCCATGGCGTCGCAGCATCTTGCTTGAATCAGCGTTTTCACGGACACAATTATGGGAGGGCCCAGGGGGCTAGCCAAATGCCTGTTTGTTACTGATCCAGGGCAATCTACAGATCCAGGAATGATGCCCAATTATCGCCCCCAGCAACCCTGCCCGTTGCCCCCCAGAGCTTAGTAGCATCCTGGATCATGTTCATCATGTACAACAACCAGAAGTTGGTGGTTCGCAAGAAATTTGGCAAGGTGCTTTTGGCGAATGCATTTAATGTACGTATTTATGCTGGCGGAGACAGTATCAAGGGTTGATAGAAGCCCCTGGATTTCATCAACTGCAATACCGAGTGTGAAGAGCGGAGCCTCAGACATCTCATTGGAGCTTTTAGGCGAGTGAAAAAGATAT